TACGAGATTTCATATTTTATATCAAAATATGCCACAATAAAAAATAAAATATTCTGTAAACTATTAATTTTTTGATATCTTTGTCTTGACTCTAATTGATATTCGCAAGTTCAGAAGACCCGAACATTTTTTTTAAATATTTTTCGACAGAATTGTGCTGTATTGTTTATTATAATAACACATATTTTTTACAATTTTTATATAATTTTAGGTTATATAATATTCCTCGAATTTTAATACACAAAATGAAAAAATTTTCCTTTAAGCAAAAATATATTAATTAAAAAAATACACTGGATCCGTGATAATTCCATTAAGGAAATTTCGGAGCAAATATCAATTTAAACTAATACTTATAAACTAATAGACAGAATCATATTTTTTATGTGAAAAACATTATACAATTCTACGTATATTAAAAAATGACCTTAATGTTTGACTTTCAAAAAACGATACTTTTTGAAAATTGATTTTGCCGTTCTTTTTCAGGATATACATTTTTAAAATTGAAAAATTTTTCATAATAATATGTATTATATACTAAATTTTCCATTGTTTCCATTAAAATGAAACACCCTGTGTTTAAACGGAAAAGTCCTACATATCGTACACTATCATGAATAGTATTATTGTTATCGGGACACTAAGTGAGGCTATAATAGCTGCCTATCAAGCAAGGAGAGACAGTAGCTAATAAAAATACGTATGAAGACAAACTAGAATTATTGAAACTTTAGTTCTGTAACGCATGCAGTAAACAATAAGGTAAAGAATGGATTTCAAATAAAACAGGTAAGCATGTTGTATATCCAAGGAAACTTTCTACTGTCATATCTTATTCCAGCATTAAAAACCAATTACCTCGTCATACGAAATCAATTACTATACATATTCAAATATGTTGCACAAGACATCGAGTCTCCTTTGCATTCTTAGTATCAATGCAATGATCATTTTGTTACATGGGCACTCAAATTATGAGAGTTTTAATAACAATGATAATAGCAAGTCAAAATTATCGAAATTACGAGATCGAGCTATTGATATGGAGAACTTCTCAAAGAACCAACATTGTTCAAATAAAAAAATACTGGACACCACGCCTAAATCCGGTGATATATTTGATTTTATAATAATTGGCGCTGGTACGGCTGGCAGCACAACAGCAGCAAGACTGAGCGAAATTTCTCAGAACAAAATATTGCTGATCGAAGCTGGATCTTACGAGAACTTTTTCATGGACATTCCTATATTCGCTCCCATCTTAACTTTAGATAATAACATCAATTGGAACTACAAAACTAAACCGTCCAACAAATACTGTCGTGGCATGAATGGTAATGTATGCCTTTGGCCAAGGGGAAAAGTAGTCGGTGGTAGCAGTGCGACAAACTTCATGTTAGCTGCTAGAGGCGGAGCCGAAGATTACGATCGTTGGGCAGACATGGGGAATGAAGGCTGGGCTTACAAGGACGTCCTTAAATATTTTAAAAAATTGGAAACAATGAATATTCCGGAGCTGAAGTCGGACACTACTTATCATGGTACTGACGGACCAGTACATATCACTTATCCATTATATCGAACCCCATTGTCAGAAGTCATTCTAGAAGCTGGTAAGGAAATAGGATATCCGATAGTAGATTACAATGGGAAAAACATGATAGGATTCTCACATGTGCAAGCTACAATCATGAACGGCACTCGCATGAGCAGCAATAGTGCATATTTACATCCTATACGCAATCGCAAAAATTTTTATATGACTCTTCAGAGTATGGTAACCAAAATTTTGATAGATAACACGAAGCGCGCAGTCGGTGTGGAATTTACCAAAGATGGTCAAAATATCTCCGTGACAGCAAGAAAAGAAGTGATTCTGTGTGCGGGTGCCATCGGATCACCGCAGTTGTTAATGCTATCTGGTATCGGACCAGAGAAACATCTTATTGAATTAGGCATTAAAGTTTTCCAAAATGCGCCAGTCGGCGAAAATCTCATAGACCATCTAGGCTATTTTGGATTGCAGTGGATAACAAATGCATCGATAGGTTTAACAACATCTGAAGTGTTCAATCCTTTTAATCCGTACATGTCTGAATTTTTTATAAATCGAACGGGACCATGGACGACTTTGGGTTTGGCCGAGACCCTCGCTTATGTCAATACAAAACATCCAGATAAACAAAGCGGTCTACCCGACATAGAATTATTGTTTACTGGTATTCAACCCATAAATTTTATTGCTCCAATTTTGATAAATTTGAAAGATCCTCTATCTTTATGGATCAAATATGGTGAATATCACAGCTGGTCTGTTCTGGTAGGATTGTTGAAACCAAAAAGTCGTGGTAGGATAACGTTGTTGGCTAATAACGTCAATGTGAAACCAAAGATCGTACCAAATTATTTAAATGATTCAGATGACGTCAGGACGATGATCGCCGGAATTAGAACTGCGTTAAGAATTGGTGAAACAAAGGTGATGCAAGCGTTTAATTCTCAATTATTAAACGTGACTAATATGGAATGCGACAAGTATGAGTATGACTCTGATGCTTATTGGGACTGCATGATAAGAATTATGTCTTCCACACTTTTTCACCCTTCCGGCACTTGTAAAATGGGACCTCGTGGAGACCCAACTGCTGTCGTCGATTCCAGATTGAAGGTATTTTTATTCTAATATATTTTTTCGAAAAATATATTAGAATACATATGGGAAATATAATAAGCAGTATGACTTTTGTTTGTGAGTTCAAATGCAATTTTTTGCAGGTGATTGGTATTGAAGGATTACGAGTAGTAGATGCTTCCATCATGCCTGAAATTGTATCAGCACCCATAAACTTACCTGTTTATATGATTGGTGAAAAAGCAGCAGATATGATCAAAGAAGATTGGAAATACTAAGAGAAGTTGTGACAATAACAAAGTTATATAAAAATAACCCAATAAGTATGTCATTTTTTAGTGTAAAACACAATAAGTATTGTGTTACTTTCTTTGACAGTAGTGACACCCTATGGGGCAAATGGTGACAATTACAAAATACATAATTCTTAATTCTTATTCAATCTTTCTTTTGACATTTTGATTAGATAAAATAATTGATATTAATTTCTGTACTCTACCATGTGTAAATTTTTATTTATTCGATAACTAAGGTTTATTTTCATAATATATGGTTGACGAAAAAGTTAAATAAAACTTGAAAGTTAATTATAAAAATTTGGCGTGCCCGCATTGCATTAATAATTTAATTGATAAGATATATTTAAAAAAACGGGGACAAGTTTTTGCTTTACTTTGATCCCATTGGTCAAAATAATCACTTTAAACCTGTTTTATGAAACTTAAAATATTTGGAAAGACAATGGCATTAAACTTTTGCTGCATATACTTTTGAATGGTTAAGTGGTTTATTAAGAAATCATTTTTGTTTCTATGTCTAATCAAATACTTGGTAATTTGTATGATCTCATTTGTTTTTGGACAATTTTTATTTATTAAAATAATATTTAGGTTTAGGAAAGATTTTATTATACATAGATATATTTATATGTATGTACATACATATGATGAAATAATATATTAGGTAGGAACTAGACCGAATACAAATATTTTTTATGCAAGAATCTCTATATACAATATTGGGGCACTTATATAATAAAAATTTGCAATTTCGATTAAAAATACGTGAAGCAAACGTAATATTGCCTTTTTTTTATTATTATGAAATTGTCGAAACAAAATGAATAGATCGATTTAATGATTTAAGATGAATTAATCGATTTAAATTTAAAATGAATAAAATTGAATCTTTTATACTTGTCACGTTTTGACGTACAAAAGATTCTTTTTTTTTTCATACTTACGGAAGATCTTCGTTGCAAAAGTGTTTCAGTAATTCAAATAATTTTTGTAATAAATTTATCTGTATTGAGACTAAAATCTCCATTTGCATTGCTTGATCCATTGTATAACGGACACTTTACCAAATATATCACATGAAGAAGTGTTTGTTTTCTTCAAAATTGCTTCTAAAAAGTCAAAGAAACATATTATACAGAAACTTCTAGAAGGAATAAATATCGAAATGTATATACCGTCTGTCTAACCGACAGCTATCGTATACCTAATTCTCCGCCCCCCGCGCGCGCGCCGCGCAGGAATTAACCGATCGCGGTCACCTAGCGCGCGGTGCACCTGGAATATATTATATCCATTTAATATTGATGACCGTCTAATGATTTCAAAATGCAAAATTTGTTTCCAAATTATTAATTATTTGTTCAAGAATGTGCCTGTTATTAAATCGCCACTCAAATATTTGAATTGTCACCATGATGTATTCCTTGGTGATTTAATAACAGGCCGGATACTCCTGAAGAGATAATTAATCATTTGGAAACAAATTTTGCATTTTGCTAACATTAGATAGTCGTCAATATTAAATATATAGTTATAATTCCGCGAGTCTGACATTTTCCGCATATATACTGTCACACGCACGGCGAACTCGCGCTCGCGCGGCGCGAATTAAAAGCCGAAAGGGGTGAATTAAAGAAAGGTGTTAGCTCTCGTGTTTATTCCTCGGTGATCGACGACTCGCGAATCACGAAATTATAAAGGTGAGCGCCAGACGCGCGCTGAAGTAGCGTCAATCGCAACACGACACCAAAATCCGACACCGATTCTATTAAATTGGAGCGCACGAAACCGATTTCTCTATAGGTACATGCGAATTATATGTAATCGCACAATACATATACAGAATTACGAGGCCGCAATAATCGGTCTGTAATACGGTCACTAGACCGAAGATCGTATTTGTCGAAATTGTATCTCCGAAACTATTGGTTTTAAAAATATGAACCAAACACCAAATTCAAAGGAACATTATCTATTATAAGCTCAGAAAGTATCGTTGTCTTAACATTTTTACAAATACTTTGTTTTTACATAAGTGGTGGACCATAATTTTTCGTCATAAAATCATCGCAGAAAATTTTTTCTTCAAACAACTGTATATTGCACTCAAATTGACGGACAAGGAAATAAAGAAAAACATTTTATAAGCTTTAATTTTGATATATTACATTTTTTACGTAAATCCAGTAGAAATTGACATATTTATGAAAAAGTAACGAAAAACAGGTTTTTAAGAAAATGTCCGAAAAAGAATTTTTCTCAAAGTTATTTTTCCAAAAATAAATTTTGGAGAGCGGTACACAACTATAGGATCGTATATATAAATACGTATGAGCTTTGAGAAAAATACGAATATTAATTTTTCCAATTCAATTATATACTTGTACTTTGTACTAATAAATAAACTCAGATTTGAACGTAAATTGAGAGTCCCATAATAACTTTCAAACGTCATATCTTGCAGGGAACTATTGGTCGTACGGGGTTAAAAAAAAAGATTTTCAAGCTAATTTCATAAGCTTTAAGATTATTTATATACATTTTTCACATACGATAAGCCACAAGTAAGTTATTTATTACAATTTATTACAATGTGGGAAAATTTATTTATATTTCGGCAATTATTTATCGAGCGAGGTTCAATAACAAAACCATTTTGTAGGAAATTAAAAAATTTTTCTATTTAATAATAGGTACTTTCTACATAGGAGTAGCCGAATTCGAGCTATTTACGAAAAACGTTAAGAAACAATGATTCGTTGATTAAGTCTTTCCATCATGCCGATGTTACATTGGCATCTGTGGCATTAAGTTATGATTTAACTAAAATAGCCGACTGGGCTTCGTCCAATGCGCTACATCTAAATCCTTATTTCTCCTTGCGGGTTCGTCCTATCTTCTATCCCACATGCAATCCTTTGACATTTCCATTAATTCTACTCCAATTGCTTGTTCTTCGTCTATTAAAATTCTTGGCGTACATTTTGATTCCTTATGGTCCTTCAAGTCACATGTCGCAGTCATGGTAGAAAGACAATTAACCGCGAAATATCGTTACAAAATATAACTATAAAATACAAGAAGAAAGTGTCTAAATAAATCGTAAATAATTAAACTGAGTTTCTACATATAATTTTATACGACTACGATTTTCTTTTCCTTTCCAAAAACTCATTATTTTTCAGGTGCTGTAATTTCATTATTTCTTTCATTTCAGTTTATTTAACTTAATTTCATTCACTTAAATAATATATTTGTTCGTTTTACAAAAATTACATGTGTGTAATACATAAACTGATGTGATACAATAATATTTATTACTTATCATTCACGTGAAATCGTTTTGCTTATTCGTTAATGTATTGACGATACCATAATCATTTATTCATCTGTAAGCGTTTGCCACGTAATAATGACGTAGTCAAGCTGCAATTCTCATTGGCTGTCTGGCTTTCCCATGCGCAAGAGCATATATACCCTTGTATTTCTACCATGGTCGCAGTCAGATGTCGATCGGCTTTTGCACGATTGCTTTATCCTTTTCGACATATCCTCACATCACAAAAACTGCTTGTTACTCCACCTATGTTGTCTTGTTTTTAGTCTGCTTTGCTCTAATACTCCCACTTGCCTTCGTCGTCTCCACTATAAAACGAGCTGAATTTTATTCATTAAATGCTCCTGTCACGCACTCTCAGGACCTTCTATCTTATCCATCTCATCATTTTTCTAAATTCCAAACCTTCTTCTCCTACATCGCAGTAAAATATTATAACAGTTTACTCTTAGCCATACAACCCTCCTCCTCGCTATCTGTTTTTCGCACTTCTGTGACTGACTTCATTATTTCACCGATCTATTCATTGGATTGATTTTTGTGAGCTTTCGTACAATGTCGAGCGTTCTGAGATGTCACACGTTGATAAGCGGCGTGCGTTTGCGACTGAATATTAATCCAGCACGAAGTATATACATGAGCTGTATATGAGGGCATATGCGGGGATGAGTTAGCATGTGCGTGTGTGCACAGATGTATCTGATGAGTATGCATGCGGGGATGTATGTGTTCGAGTGGGTATCATTTCCACTGTCTGCCGATGTGCTTGCTACAGGTTTGAAATTATGCATTAAGAAATTAAAAAATGCTTATTAGAATGTTTAATATTTTAAATCACACGTTTTACGCGATTATTATGTCAAAACTATCATTTTTTTAATTATTATGTTTTTGTAAGTATGTATTTTCAATATCAGGTTGCTTCTCGCCCTGACCCAGATAACCAAGCGTGATTAATCATATCGAGCAAAATAATGTATTGCATGAGTATTGCATATTTGACATACATTTGCTGACATAAAAAAAGGACACATTATGAATGCAGCAACATAACAGCTTATACGTATAAACAGTTAATGAAATTTCAAGAGCAAACGGTTAGCAATAGTGGTATACATTATGTTGTCGGCAACATGTAAGCAACATGTCAGCAATAAATGATTAAAAATTCTATCTTGAGCA